AATCGCCCGCCGAGCCCGCGCCCGCCAGCTTCGGCTGGGAAGCCGAAACCCAAACCGGAACCAATCAAAGACGTCGTTTGCCTGCGGCTCCTTGACGGAAAAAGCCGAGCGGCCTGAATGACCAATGAGAAGACACCGCTGGGAGACCACGCCCCAGCAACGAGGGATGCCGAAGGTAGCCGAACAGAAGGAGAGTGGAATCGCCCTGTTCTGTGGCTGGCTGGAGAAGAGATTCGACAATAGCAACAGCGGCCAATCAGAGCTGCCCGCCCGCAGGGAAAAGCCTGAAGAGTTAAGGACAGCGAAACTCCGGAGTCGCGGGAGGAATTGCACAGCCGGGCGCCGTGCCCGTTTCCTCATTGGCTGGACAGCTCCACTGGGCGTGTACCTTTCTCAGTGATTGGTGAAGGGACGGGGGCTTCCGAGGACATCTGGCCAGTCAGAACTTCCCCTCCCTCTTCGAGGTGGGGAGAAGAAGAAAGCGGAGGGAGGGCGTCTATAAAGTGGCAGCTCATTGGTCTGTAGCGTCGAGCAGAAGCGCAGCGGGGAGGAGGGGTGCTCCGAAGGGAGAAGGAGGGTGCAGGAGCCCGTGGAGGTAGCCAATGGGTGCTTACTGCCGTGCAATCGCAAGACCTAGCTGCAGTGGGATTGGCCTCGGGTAGTCCCTGGAGCGGGCGGACGGGTTGACTGGCCGGCCCGCATCTGCTCTCCGACAGGACGCTCGTGCTGTCTGTGCAGCTGGTCTGAAAGTGCTGCGGTCGGCGGGCTGCACTCGGGCGCTCTAGCGGGGCGAGGGGCCGTCCCCATCCCCCGATGCTCGACGGGGCGCGGCCGACAGAGTGTTCCCTAGGCTCTCTGCGCGTGCTGAGCATCTGAAAACCTCTTTCCCCCGGAAGGCTTAGGGCCCCCGTGGCTGGGGTCGAACCCTCTGGCGCTCAAATGGGAACAAAGCTTCCAGAGAGGCAGCGCCTCTGTGCAGCCGCGCCCGCCCATCGCGGGGGGCTACTGCCAGCATGGGCCCTTTGCGCCAGGCGCATGCAGCCAGGCCCGGCCTTCTGGAAACGCCCCCGAGAGATGAGCTCATGCTAGATGCGCGCGCTCCTTGGGCGCGACTGCCCGGCTCAAAAGCAACCCCGAAAACAGGTGAGGGGAAATGTGGTCAAACCCAACTACCCCGAAGCCTCCGAGGAAGCGCAAGTCAGAAATGCTCGTAGCGGGTTTTCGTCTTTTAGGTCATCTATCTGCACACTGCTGCTTAAGTAGGTTTCACACTTGGTCCATCGTCCATTGTTCTATAAGGGAAACAATTGCCTTGATCCATCTGAGAACTGTGTGGCATGGCCACTGTGACTGGAGTAAGTCAGAGTTGGACGCTCGCAATCCTGATTGGAATCCCAAGATGCTTGTAATATCCACCTGCATAGTCATCTCTTTCTGTTGAGATGCTATCTCCAGAAAGCACATGTAAAAGTACACGTACTTGATCAGATTACCAGGCTATTGCTTTAAAATCTGATGAGGGACTTGGGGCAGAACAAAGTAAGCTTTGATGGGAGACAGTGAAGGTCTGGATAGTGTTTGCAGACTCAGATGTCTACAGAGGCTTGACAAATAACGCGAATGAACGAGACTGGCCTGGTAGAAGACAATGGGAATGTGGAAACCGGAGTATCCATCCATGCCCTTAGGAGAGCAGCTGCTCAGCTTTAGCAGATTATTTCATGTAGAAACGTAGGTCCACCATTGAGATAATCGTAGTCTACTTTTTTTTGTTGTTGTTGTTACCAAAACCATAACGTTGGGGTTTTGTGTGAGATCTTTAAATCTTAAGTGTTGGCCACCAGGATGTCGAAACCTTGTAGACCAAAGGAAAATCCCAGGAAAGATGTGCCCAACAGGCAATCAATTTGTAAACCCATCCCTTAGCATAGGTTTTATAGCCCAAGAGCTGTAGAAAGGATCTTGCTCTTCACAATTGGAATATAAAGTCACTGGATGCCATGGGGGAGGGTAAAGAATGCTAAAAGCAAACGCCCTGCTTGGCAGCTTACTCATTTGAACGGTGCCTCAACATGCTGTTATGACAGACCTTTGCCACTGTTCCTAAAATGCTTTTATATAAAACTTTAAATCCTTCCTACCTAATTATACCAACAAAAAAAAGTAAATAACAAATGTTTAGTTTATAGAAACTGGCAACAGGGCTATTCTTATATATAGAACTAGTATAAAAATAGTCTACCTTAAGGTTATGATTAGTAACTTTTCTGTTTCCTTCAGATATTTTTAACTCGTGATTTTTTTTTTAATCTTCTCAAGTTTTCCCTTTTCATAGGGAAGAAAAAAAATACACATTTCAGTCCACAAATAGGACTTGGGGAAGGAAAAGTTTACTTAATAAAACACAGAATGACCAGGTGTGGTGACACACACTTTTAATCCTAGTAATGCAGAGGCAGATATATCTCAGAGTTCAAGACCAGCCTAGTCTACATAATGAGTTGGGCGGGGGGGCACATGTACATCACAGAAATATTGAAACTTAAATGAAACATTCATTAGTGGTTTTCTGAATTTTTAACACCTCTTACTTTACCTTCCTATATGGTGGGAACTACTGGAAATAGTATTAGTATGCCTAGATAATGCTTTCAAATATTTTGGCACAAACTATCTTACATTAATTTTTTTTTTTTTACAGTGATGGGCATGCCAGGGAAGCACTCCACCACTGAGCTACACCCCCAGCCTGTCACTTAAAGTACTGTTTTCAGATTGGATCAACCGAGGCCATGAAAGTTAACTGAATTTTTCCAAGATCCACAAAATTAACCTAGCAGAAGCAGTATTCACATCCCTTGTTCTTAACCTCCACTATTCTCTCTGCACAATTCTCTCTTGACACAGTCTGACCCACATCCCCTAGTGTCTGGTGAAAGTGAAAGCTATATAAGCTTGGTTATCTAAATTCCATCCCCAGAATCCTCCCGACAGTGGAAGGAGAAGACCAAGTACATTGAATTGCCCTCTGGCCTCCACATGCGTACACCACGGCCCACACCACTGCCAATAATAATAAAGGACAGGTCTCATACCCAATCAGGAGCTCACCAATTTGGCTAAGCTGGCTGGCCCAGTGAGCTTTGAAAATCCACCTGTTTCTGTCCTCTCAATGCTGGGCTCATAAAACCTCAGCTTTAGTGTGGATTCTAGGAATCTGAACTCGGGTTCTCATGCTTGTACTTTACCCCCGGAGTCATATTCTCAACCCTAGTACACTTAATTTTATTTTCTTAATTATTTTATTATGTAATGTGTATGGGTGTTTCATCTATATGCATTCAACTGAAAAGTGTTGGAGGTGTTCTGCATCATGCAGCATCAAATATTCCACCAAGATTTCATTCTTGATATTTATGTAGTTGTATGGTGAGTAGTGCACTAATGAAAGAGGACAACTTGCAGGAATTGGTTCTGCCCTTCTCTCTGTGTGGCAGTAAGCACTTTTACACACTGGGCCATCTCACCAGCCTTAAGATTTAATTCTTGCCTGGTGGTGCACACCTTTAATCCCAGCACTCCTGAGACAGAGGCAGGAAGATAAGATCTCTGTGAGTTCGAGGCCAGCCTGGTCAACAAGAGTGAGTTCCAGGACAGCCAGGGCTGTTACACAGAGAAAGCCTGACTTGAAACAAAAACAAACAAACAAAAATTGTGATTTATCATCAGTAAATGTTTGATTTGTGTACCTGTTTTATATACCCAGATTTTCTCAGGCAAAAAAAAAGGTCCACAAGTAGAACAATCTTAAACAGCCTTGCTCAAATTACCACAACTGAAAAGATTTTCAAACCTGTAGCCTTCATGTTCTTCCCCTAGCAATTTCTTCTTAGAAAATTACCAAAAATTAACAAAAACTCCAGCCCATTTTACGATTATCCAGCTCTCACCATCTTTGTGGGATACCATGATAAGCATTAAAAGTACATAAGTATGAAGATGAGGGAAAGCCACCCTTCTGACCCAGCCTGAGGGATCTCTTTTACAGTGATGGAGCAAACACAAAAGACTGGGAGGGTCCCAGAGGTTTGTCTCCAAGTTATAGTTAAAACTAGTAGTTTCCAGGGTTGAACACATGTGCTGTTAGGATTGATCTCTTTCCCTCTCAACAGATTCTCACTACATAGCCCTGGCTGTCATGGAACTTGACATGAGACCAAATTGGCCTCTAACTCACAAGGATCTGCTGCTGCCTCTGCCTCCCAAGTGCTAGGAATAAAGGTATGCACCACCATGCCCAGCCTATTTTTAATTTAAGAAGTGACCTTCCTACCCAAAAGAAGTGGTGTTTCAAATAATTAGCTAACTAGTAGACACTGCTACCCTCATTCCTTAGTCTAAGGAACAGGTGTTATTTGATCGACAGTACAACTATCCTCAGGTTAGGACAAATCCACAATCCCAGAGGAGACTTT